AACAGAAAATAGATTCAATGGCAACATGTGAGGCAGTTGAACAGACATAATTAAAAACCATATGGCTAAGAACAGTACAAGTTATTCGAAAGAATGAACAGAGGTACGAAAAGAAATCGGGGACTTACCGATTGGAGCCAAAGAAAATGACGCCGGAATGAAGATCGCTGGAGTCAGACGGCGTGAATAATCAGAACCAGATGATGAAATGCTTGCTGAAGGAGATGATTGAAGCAGTTGCAGGGGCTTCGAGGTACGAAAATGGAGGATTTGGGAGAGAAGCATTAGAGAGAGAAAATTAGTTACAAATTGAAATACTCAAAAGTGAAGAGACAGAGAGAGATAGAGAAGTTTTGTCAAATTTGTGAAAAGGCGGCAAACCATAATGATTTGCCTTGGACGACGTGTCTGTCAAGCGGCGTGCGCAGAAGCGACATGACCCAATAGCGCGTGTCAGGTACGAACCAATGAAGGAGCAACGCGTGGAGAAAACGGTTAAGTAAATTGTGCGTGACAGCTCATGCGCAAATAAAAATCTTGGAGTTCTTGATTTAATGAAACAAAATCCTTGGCTAGAGAAGCGATCTCGGTTAAGGAACTTGAAGAACTTGGTTCTTGGTCACTGATAAAGCAAACTACAGAGTCTTGGTCATGTGAAGCCGATGGGTGATGATCTCGGTCATGAAGGATAGAGTAAGTCATAGCCGAAGTGCTATGTGGACAAACGATGCAAGTTTCATCACCTCAGGATGCCGAGGTAATAGAACCTAGGGGGCAGTTGTGGGGACATATTTTGTTAATGACAACATGTGGCCAAGGTGACGCCGAAGTGTCAGCCGAGGTGCCACGTGGCTTGGTCACGTACCGAGATGATCTTAGCTAGGTCGAGGTTATCTTCGAATATATCGAAATTCGAGATGAGCAGATAAGGGACAAGAGTTCTAGAATGGAGAAGGACCTCAGTCTGGATAAAGTCTAACTAGAAGTCCAAAATGAGTATTGAGCCAAAGTCCATTAAAACTAGGCTTTTACAGGAGTCAGGTTAGTGCTGGCTATAAAGGTAAGGCACCCTCGTAGGTCTAAGGTATATTTTTTATGCTCTGTCTAGTGAGTTAAGCACTATTGGCTATCTTTGAGAGATAATTACTAACTTGATCGTCGAGTGCCTCCAGGTGGACAAACCACCGCCAGATTCTTATCTTTTTGTACCAAGTTGTTCGGGCTTAATCTATTATGCCAGTGCTCTCCTGCTGAGCTTCCCTGTTTGGTTGTGTGGTCAAAAATCAACGCCCACATTTATTTATTTTTCAAAATTTTAAATTATTAAAGTGCATATGTTGTAATATCATTAATTTCTCCATATTATAAATTTTTATTTTAAATCTTATAGATTAGATCAATGACTAATATAATTATTATACTTTTAATAAAAAATATAATATTTTATCTTTTATATTAGTTGTGACACATTAGTTGTCGGGATGAGAAGGACAAAGACTATACAATTGAGGGATATCGGGGATAAGACGAGATTAGTGATGGAGTCCGTCTTTTTCGTCAATCAGAGTCGCACAGAACTTTGCGAGTGCTAGAATGATAGTACGACTATTTTTCGAAAGTGGTTTATAAGTTTATTTTTTTTATTTATTACGAAAACCTACACACAAAAAAAGAAAAAAATAGAAAAGTAACATAATTTACGGTAAATTACCAATAAATCTTAATAATTAGATAATTTTTATAAAGTTTTATTAAAAATATATTTTAATAAAATCGTCATTAAAACTAATTTTTTATGGCGATTATTTGCATATATCATTAAAAATTAACAATTAGTATTTTTTTTTGTTATGATTTTTATAAATTATCGCTAAAACTTACAGTTAATTACGTTTTTCTATGACAAATTTTTTAAACAGTCGCTAAAAGTTAAAAATTAGTGATATTTTTTTATGATGATTTTTTAAATTGCCGCTAAAACTTATAATTAGTGACTTTTTGTGACAATTTTTAAATTGCTATTGAAAATTGGCAACTAATGACTTTTTTTAATAGTATTTGATGAAAAATATCATTAATTATTATAAGACTTATTAAATTATAAATTCACTTATTAAAATCTACATGTACGTCTTTCTATACCTTAAATAATTTTTTTAAAAAAAAAAATTTGACTTACGTCACCAAAGCTGAACGATTCTAGAAGACGATGAAGTGGAAAGAAGAAAGGTGTGAAACGAAAATGCCATAAGTTCTAAATTTTTTACTAAATAAATGATTAAATGTTTCACATAAATATGAGATTTATAAAATTGTGAATTTCACATTTATATGAGATATTTGGCCATTTGTTTGATAAAAAATTTGGTATCCCTAACATTACCCGTGTGAAAGGAAAATGATATAAGCCTCAAATTTTTCACTAAACAAATGACCAAATGTTTTACATAGGTGTAGGGTCCACAATTTGTACACTCATATGAGATATTTAATCATTTATTTAGTAAAAATTTTGATATCTCTAACATTACCTGGTGTGAAATTACTAGATTCCTATCCCACATTCTAATCTTAAATGGTGTTGTTTGGCAAGTTGGTTTGTGTCTAAAATAATCACAAAAGACAAAATATGTTATTTTAATTACAACAAACAAAACATCACATCCAATCCATAATCATTACACTCTTCTCTCATAAAAAAAGTCAAAAAAGCCAAAAAAATTCTTCCCAAACCAAGCTTTTTAACCCAAGTTACAATAGTCAAAAAAATCAAAAAGTTAAAAAGTCAACTCACTTTCCAAACGGAGGCATATCAACATTAAAAACACGAATAATATTAAGATATCAAATTTTTATTAAATATTTTATCAAATATCTTATATAGGGTGACGCTCACATTAGCATAAAATTCACATCTATATCAGATATTTAATAAAATATATGATAAAAATTTTAAGACATCTGCCATTTTCCTGAAAGTACACATCATTCACTTGATTCTCAAAACTCGCTGGAGCCGAAAATTTTCAATCGGACTGCTGTTGTTGATAAGGATATGTTTCTCTCTCTCTCTCTCTCTCTCTCTCTCTCTCTCTCTCTCTCTTCTGACTCGTCATTTTCCGTCACCCTCCTATTCTAATTCTTCGCCATTCCTTTTTGTTCTTTTTTTCTCCATTAGGGTTAGGGTTTCTTCGAATCTCCTTTTTCCTAGTTCTTTCATTTCTTTTCTTTTCTTGATCTGGACCAGTCTCATTCTACGCATTTTTAATTTGAGAAACAGGAATTCTTAAGAGAGAGAGAGAGAGAAAGAGAACCAATACACGTTGGTTAATTTGTGTCTTTGATCAGGTCTTCTGAAGAAGATCTGAGCATTTGTTTGGAATTGTTAAAAAAAATAAAAAAAAAATGAGTGCTTCCAGGTTCATAAAGTGCGTCACGGTCGGTGATGGGGCCGTTGGCAAGACCTGTCTCCTCATATCCTACACCAGCAACACCTTCCCTACGGTGAATCCCCCCATCCCATCTTCTGGATTTCTTTGTATTTTGTTATGTTAAAGCTTTCTTCTTTATAATTTTGTATCTCTTGGGAAACAATGCTTTTGCTTCTTTTTTTTTTTTGTCTGGCTCAATTTGGGAATCAATTGTACAATGCTGTCTTGGTAATGATTCCATGAAGGAAATAAAAAAGAAATTGAGGGTGAGAGAGAGGAATGCTGGGTTTCTTGGAATTAATTAGTTGTATGGTTTATGCATTTGTTTGAGTTTGAAAATATTTGCCGCTGTCGTTTTTTTCATTCATTTAATTTCCATATGGATTACAATTTGTGCAATTCTCTGGAAATCATTATAATTACTGGTTTTAGAAACCTCCTTGAAATTTGTTTTTGTTTTTGTTTTCATTTTCAAATGGGGCAACAGGATTATGTGCCAACTGTATTTGACAATTTCAGTGCAAATGTGGTCGTCAATGGGAGTACTGTTAACCTCGGATTGTGGGATACTGCTGGTAAGTTTGTAATGTCATTAGTTATGTTATTTGTTTGCCTGAATGTTGCAGTATAGTAATTTTATTTCATTTTGTAGTATAATAGATATGTTTGTGTGAATGGGCTTGTAATTCATATGGGTTTTTATGTTGTTATTCTGTTACACCCTCCCCACTGCTTAAACCAAGTGGGATGGTTTTCTTCATGGCCGAACTATAACATGACCGAAATAACACTGGCTCTACTGAGCTACATAGAAGGCCGAACTATCCTTAGCTCGGTCTTCTCCTCTAACTCATTACTTCGGCTGCCCTTGTTCAACCTTAGTGTGCTTAGGTCAACCTTCCCAGTAACAAGTTCTGACCGACCTAACCGTAGTATGTGACGACCGGACTAATCCCGAAACCAGCCTTCCCTGTACATATCGCGACCGGACTGATTCTGAGACCGGCCTAACTCCAAGTTGCCTCCGACCGGAGTAGCTTTATTCTTCCTTAGGCCGAAGTAACTATTTCTTCTCTGAGCCGGAGTAATCTCACCTCTATGGGCCGAAGTTACACTACGGCTTTTTATCGATTCCTTCACACTTTGGGCCGCAGGGCCCAACTCACAGCTCGGCCCAATTCTTTCCCAAAAATTACCCTCTCAGTTCCAATCCGGAACCGTGAGGTTCAATCCGAAATTAATCCGTGAACAACGAATTTTTAATTTTTCAATTCGAAACCAAATCACGAATTTAAAAAATAAATCTAAACTTACTAAATTGAACTCGGCTGAATCAAATTACAAATTTTATGAATTTCTTATTCAATCCTAGGTAATTTTACTCTCTAGAATGCAAGGAATCGACCCCCACACACAAAATAAACAAAAAAAAAATTTGTCACAAATCAATCGTCGTGCATTAATGGATTAATATATATATATATATATGTATGTATGTATATATTTGTTGGGATTCGTTTTCCTTTTGAAGAAAAATGAAAAATGAATTGGTGATTGGGCCTAGTTGGGTGGGGTAAATAGTAACCGAGGCCCAACGTGAGGAAGCGACAAAAACGCGTTGAAGATTGCCAATCAGAACCAGAAACAGGGCCTCGTTGGCAGAGACTGGTCCGACCCCGGTGAGCGCTTCAACGGCATTGTTTCCCGGCTAATTTAGGCAAAACCACACACCCCAACCCCACCCATATTCATATCATCTCATATCTCTCTCTTTCTCTCTCTAGATCTCTCTCTCTCTCTCTCTCTCTTCTGACTCGTCATTTTCCGCCACCCTCCTATTCTAATTCTTCGCCATTCCTTTTTGTTCTTTTTGTCTCCATTAGGGTTAGGGTTTCTTCGAATCTCCTTCTTTTTCCTAGTTCTTTCATTTCTTTTCTTTTCTTGATCTGGACTAGTCTCATTCTACGCATTTTTAATTTGAGAAACAGGAATTCTTAAGAGAGAGAGAGAGAGAGAGAGAGAACGAATACACGTTGGTTAATTTGTGTCTTTGATCAGGTCTTCTGAAGAAGATCTGAGCATTTGTTTGGAATTGTTAAAAAAAATTTAAAAAAATGAGTGCTTCCAGGTTCATAAAGTGTGTCACGGTCGGTGATGGTGCCGTTGGCAAGACCTGTCTCCTCATATCCTACACCAGCAACACTTTCCCTACGGTGAATCCCCCCATCCCATTTTCTGGATTTCTTTGTATTTTGTTATGTTAAAGCTTTCTTCTTTATAATTTTGTATCTCTTGGGAAACAATGCTTTTGCTTCTTTTGTTTTTTTGTCTGGCTCAATTTGGGAATCAATTGTACAATGCTGTCTTGGTAATGATTCCATGAAGGAAATAAAAAAGAAATTGAGGGTGAGAGAGAGGAATGCTGGGTTTCTTGGAATTAATTAGTTGTATGGTTTATGCATTTGTTTGAGTTTGAAAATATTTGCCGCTGTCGTTTTTTTCATTCATTTAATTTCCATATGGATTACAATTTGTGCAATTCTCTGGAAATCATTATAATTACTGGTTTTAGAAACCTCCTTGAAATTTGTTTTTGTTTTTGTTTTTGTTTTCAAATGGGGCAACAGGATTATGTGCCAACTGTATTTGACAATTTCAGTGCAAATGTGGTCGTCAATGGGAGTACTGTTAACCTCGGATTGTGGGATACTGCTGGTAAGTTTGTAATGTCATTAGTTATGTTATTTGTTTGCCTGAATGTTGCAGTATAGTAATTTTATTTCATTTTGTAGTATAATAGATATGTTTGTGTGAATGGGCTTGTAATTCATATGGGTTTTTATGTTGTTATTCTGTGGAACAGGACAGGAGGATTACAATAGATTAAGACCATTGAGTTACCGTGGGGCAGATGTTTTCATCCTGGCATTCTCTCTCATTAGCAAGGCCAGCTATGAAAATGTTTCCAAGAAGGTGAGGACTTCCTGGTTGTAACACACACTTCTCCCTCTGTATTTTTCTCACACAAAGAAATTTTATCATTAGGCAACACTACAACTTATTAATTTCTGATGAAATTCTTGTGCTTTTATCTTGTTAATTACAGTGGATTCCCGAGTTGAAGCATTACGCTCCTGGCGTTCCTATAGTTCTTGTTGGAACAAAACTTGGTTAGTCTTTGATTACCTCATATTGATTCTTGTAACACGCAAAACTTTTCACCACTGTATTTTTGTTTGCTGAGCAATTTTGTTTTCTTGAGTAAACTATCTCGTTTATCCTTGATGGGATAATTAATGTTGATTTCAAAATCTAATTTGCTCTCATCAAAAATCATTTATGGATTGACTGAAATGAGTGCTGTTTGATTTTATTTTGGTTTAGCCAAATTTGGCTTGGTGGAAAAATTGGAAATTTCCTTGATCAGTTTGCAACAATTTTGATGGTTGTTTGTTTTTTTGTTTTTTTGTGTTTTTGTGTTTTTGATAGAATGCAATGGTGTTCTGGGACCTTTGCTTGTGTTTAAAAAAGTTACCAGCCACCTGCTTGGCTGCAGACCCCACAAAATCTAACCTAACAAAAAATTGTTATTGGTGCCCACCTATGAAGCACGGGTGCCAGTACGGATACCGGTACAGGTACGATATGGGTATGCCGATATGCTGAAATGTAAAAAAATTAATGTACGGGTACAGCTAGGGTACATAAATTTGTTTGTTTGTTTGTTTGTTTGTTTTTTTTTTTAAATTTATAACTAAACATCCCATCTACAAATCAAAATTCAAAATAATGACTAAAAAGAGAAATTACAAAATCAAAAATAAATTAATATTCAACAATACCAATACAATACTAAAGTAAAATCCTAAACCTAATGAACTCATATTCCTATAACCAATAAGACAATAATTTGTGAATTTTTTCACGTCATTCAAGTACATAATTTTCAAATATTCAAATAACAATTTGAAAATATCAATATTATGAAAGTAACAATGAAACATCAACATAATTTTCAATATTCCTATAAACCTACGTTACATAAACTCTTTGGAATTTGGAGGTACCCTATGTCGACACGACATGACACGGGTGGAGTATCCACTGCATACCAAACTTCCCTATACTGTATTCGGCTTACCCGGTACGAATACGCCGTACTCAATACGCGTACCTGCACCCTGTAAGTACCAGGTACTTGTACGGCAATATTTTTGGAGTACCCGTGCTTCATAGGTGGCCACTTTATTTTTTTGCGAGAAAATGAGATTTTATTGATTACTACCAGAAGTGAGGGAAACTTTCTCCTATAATTTATTTTCACAATGTATAATGTTATGCATTTCTCTACTTTAATGTTCTCCTAATTAAGTAAAGTCCTTTTGCAATTATTTGGGTTTAAGGCTTTTGGTACACTATGCCATTTTTTTTATAGACAATGCTTTATGTTTAATTGGACATTTTCGTTTCTTTTCTGACTATTCAATTCACATTTGTTGCCATTCCCTCATCTTTACACCACTATCTACTTAAACCATGTGACCCATTTTGACTTGAAAGATATTCCATATCTCATGAACGAATCATTTTAACCAGTCTCACAAATGCCTCGAAAATTTACTTATTTCTTTTTCTATTTCTGTCCCTTTTTATTTATTTTGTTCTTTCTTGATTTGAATATGTGAAAGAAAAAATTTGATTAAAAAACTTCCAAATACAAGTCATGATTCTCTAATTGTCCAAATAATTTGGGGAATTCGGAAACATGCGAAATTATTTGTAATATTCTTGACAATTAGAAAATTTGAGAATTATTGAAATATGTGGGATATATTTGGGATTTGTTTGTTTTATGAAAATAGCTGGATGAAATTAAGAGATTTTTAAAATAAAAATTAAAAAAAGATTGGAGGAGTTTGTTACTATGGGTTACATGGATACATTAGTTTAGTTGTATTAGACCATCCTCATCAGTTAAATTTTTGTAATATTTTAGTTTAAAAGTTATTTTTTTTATTTTGGCTGAACACATTTTAAATACACTTTCCAACAAACTATATCCTTTTGCCATGCTATTCTATGAAGTATGGACACGCCAAAATGGAAGCTGTGACGGTGTTGGACACAGGGACACGTACAGGACACGGCATCTAGTGTGTCCCCGTTATTTAATTTATTGTTTTGCCTTCTCTCTCTCCCTCGCGATCGCTCTAACTTCTGTCTCCCTCTCTCTTGCTTTTGTCTCGCTTCTGGCTCCCTCTCTCTCGCTTCTCTCCCGTCTTTATCTTCTTGTCTTGATTCATATATAATATATATAACTATTATATAATGACTATTTTTATTATATATTATATAATAGTTATTATATAACATAAATATACTTATAAGATAATATATAATACATATTATAAGATAATATATACTTATACATATTAATAAATAAAAAAAATAAACACATGTATGTAAAATAAAATAAAATAAAAATTAATTGGAACACATTATTTAAAAAATATAATAAATAAATAAAATAATTAATGTGTATTAAAATAAAAATATTTATAGAAAAATTAAAAAAATTGTCGTGTCCCCTGCCGTGTCCGTGTCTCCATTTTTTAAAAATTGCCGTGTCCGTGCTTCATAGATGCTATTTAACCAGTTTTTATTTATTTTTAATTTAAAATTATTTTTTATAAACTCTACACAACTAATTCCAAAATATCAAAAGTAATGTTTTTGTATGTTTGACTAGTCCAAACCACTAGCTACATTTAATTGAGTCAAATACACCAAAACCAAAATAGCTAACTTAATAGCTACCTTAATGGCGTTGAAATTTAATGATTTACTCATTATTTTAATTAAAAAATAAAAAAATAACTAACTTTGAGGGAGATGCTCTTATGTCCCACTGTTGGAAGGAATGAAATTTTACTTTCTTTCATCATTGCATTTTTGCTTTTGCTTAGATTATACACTTCTATAGAAAATTTTGAGAATTATTCATAACTATTTTCTCTATGTTTGGGCCGGTTTGTCCAAGTATACTGTTTGAAAAGAAGTTTATATGGTTCTTTTGTACATGCCCATTCTAATGCGTATATACACAATATAAAGCACCTGCTTAGGTTGTTAGTACCCTGTCTGAACTTTTCTCATGGTCAGAATTGGAAACTTTTATGACAATCAAGTAGAGGAAAAATGGCCAAGGAGTTTGTTGACAACATGTTGATTTCTTTATCTATCCTACCTCACTATTGATTGTCTTTATCTATCCCTGAAGTGAGAAAGTATCTTTACTGCTATGTAATGATGTGTTATGACTTACCAGTTAGTTTGGTACATGCCATCTCTCTCCTATTGTTTAATTTTACTTATTTTTTCTTTCACATTAGAAAGAAATTGAGGTAGGATTTCCTTACTGTTGTCATGATCACTTGCTTATTGTTGTTCTGTTTTAGTTAAGGGTTGTTTTGACAGATATGTACTTTAAATAATTTTCCACAATGAAGATCTTGTTTTTGATTTGACGATAATGACCTCAGATCTTCGGGATGATAAGCAATTCTTCATAGACCATCCTGGCGCCGTGCCAATTACAACTGCACAGGTAAAGACTACCTCTTCACATGTGCCTAGTGATTGCACTCAAATAAGTTTTTCCATATGAGTTTATTTTGCCAACATATATATATATATATATATTACCACTTTCTTTATGATTTACCATTTACTTTAAGGGGGAGGAGCTAAGGAAGCTGATTGGGGCACCTTCATACATCGAGTGTAGTTCCAAAACGCAGTTGGTATGTCTGCTATATCTTAATGTTCTCTTGCTTTCTTACAGACCTTTTTTTTTTTGTTCTCTCTGCTGAAGGGTCATCTTGTGGAAAACGTTTTTGTAATTTGCAGAATGTGAAGGGTGTTTTTGACGCTGCCATCAAAGTTGTGCTCCAGCCACCCAAGCAGAAGAAAAAGAAAGGCAAGGCACAAAAGGCTGGTTGCTCCATATTGTGAAAGAAAAAAGAAGCCTGAAGAGTTAATTGCTCTCCAACCCATTCTCATCATATTTCTTCCTTGTATCCTTTATGTTCCGTTGTCTAGCACGAAGCAAGAGGTCCCTGGTATGTAGTCTCCGTGGACGGTCCTGTGAGGTGAAAATTGTATTCTGTATTGTTGTGTTCTCTACTTGTAGAGCCGCACTATGTTGTGCCCACCTCATTCTCCCCATCCGGTTTTGATTTGTTTGATGTATTAATTGACCGGAAAGATCCCAGTTATGAGAACAAGTTTGCATTACCATGATGCATTTTTATATAAACATTACTTTGTATGTCAATTAAAGAAACAATGATATGCATTTTATATATATATATATATATACTCTACTTTCTTTACATCTCAATTGAAGATTACAACGATATGAATTATATATAATAGATATATACACTACTTTCTTTGTATCTCAATGAAAGATTTTGGGTTGTGATGCTGTTTAGAATATGTAGTGAGTCAACAAAATTGTTTCTTGATGCTGACCAATCTCCTAGGATGTTCATGTCCAAAAAACACCTAAAAGCTGCATCTGTTTATTTTGCCTTCTAATGCAAGTTGCACTCAGCTGCATAATTTGTACTGGTTTGTTATCTCTCAAGCTTATTTGGGCAAAAAATATTTTTTGAGAAAAACATCCTCCTATGTTTGATTGTGACTTCAAAATTAATGTGGTACTACTTGTGGTTAGTGATGGTGGTAGTGACTGTGTCATAACAAAGACTAGTTCAAAGAATTTTACTTTTTAAAAGTGAATTTTTTCGCTCCAATAAACTTGCTGTTCTTTAATCACCGAAAACGTTTTGCACAAAGACTTGTCTTTCATTGTAAGTAAATGGTAGAAGATGTGAAAAATATTGTTTGCCCCAAAAAAATGAATTGCTAGGTTTAACTCGTTTTTCATTTTCAACTAAAAGAAATACATATAGTAATTGAATATATTTGAATGTGAATTGTGATATAATTTCTATTACATCCCCTTATTTTATCACTCTCAATTACACCTCTAATAAGGTGACAAACAATTTTGAAAAGAGAGAAGAATTTAAAAAAAATTAATTAGTTGATATTATTTACCATCTTATTAGAGGTACAATTGGAAGTAATGAAATGGGAGGATGAGACATTTCTCAATTTCTAAATGCTGCTATTTGCTTCCACTAAATCTAAATATCTTTAGATTTTTATTTTTTTTTTGGATCTCTAAATTTCAAAAAATTTTCTTTGAACCTTCCACCTTGTTCCCAATTCTATCATTAAAATTAATTAGTTGATATTATTTACCCTCTTATTAGAGGTACAATTGGAAGTAATGAAATGGGAGGATCAGACATTTCTCAATTTCTAAATGCTGCTATTTGCTTCCACTAAATCTAAATATCTTTAGATTTTTATTTTTTTTTTGGATCTCTAAATTTCAAAAAATTTTCTTTGAACCTTCCACCTTGTTCCCAATTCTATCATTTTTCCATTGGGGAAAACCTTTCCCAGCTCTCCCTTCTCCCTGGAGACCCACCCTCCCCGACTGCATCCCTTCCCAGCGCCCCCTCCTCCACTACCCTTTGCCACCCTTCGTGATTCCTGGACTTGCTGCCCCCCACCCTTGCAACAACCACTGTACAGAGAGAGAGAGAGAGAGAGACTGTTGTAGCAGCCAATTGGGAAACAATTTTTGCTAATTGAGAGACAAAAAATGACTTAGTGTGAATTCGTTGTTTTTGTTACCAGCAGTTCGCTTTCCTCCATGTTTGGAGTTTCAGATTGAAACTCATAAATCATCCCAACAGATAAAGCAAATTTTGAACTTGATGCTCGTTAAATTGTCAAACTAAATTTGAACAATCCAGTAATCGGCTCAACTTGTGTACAAACCTAAACAATACTCAACACACAGTTCGGTTAAACCATCGCAGAAACTTTTTTCACTAATAATGTATTATGACGTACATAATTTTCCAGAGACAGAAAGAATCCTCGCCTAAACTCCAAACGTTGCATCAAACTCGAGCATGAAGAGGCCACTTCTTCCACCAGAAAAAACATAACAGCTTCCTCTCTGATTCTCTGAGTGTATACGTGAAGTCCGAAGCTGACTATTATTTTTGAACCTCCAAAACAATAAAAATAGTCTTGCAGCTTTCACATCATGAATGCTCATCCGGCTAAATCACACTTGATGGGCTCGTATTTCTCACCCATAGCACCACCCTTCTGCTTCTGGAACTGGATGTACCGCAGCGTACTGGAGAAGAAAGCATCTGCAGCTGGATCTGGTGTCATATTTTCACTTTGCATTTCGGTTGTGACTAATTCAATCAAGCCCTGGATTGCAGAAACACCAATCTCTGAGTTCCCCTTCTCAAAGAAATAGAGATACCTGGGATTGCCACACAAAAATGTAAAATTAAAATTAAAATACACAACAAAAACAAAAACGTGTTTCCTGTTGACAATGTGCCACCAAATGAAGTGGAAAGATGATGAAGAATGGAACTATTTACTTGTTTAATATTTCGATGAAGAGCATGACCGACCCACTGCTACCTCGTGTTGCATTAGCCATTTGTTGAGCAGCATTAGCAATTCTCAAAGCACGCTTTAAGCAAAGCAATACCCTGGATCAAAGGGAAATTTTTTACCAGATTAATCAAAAGCCAAGCAATCTTTCTCCCTAGGTGCAGAAAATCTTATAAATCCAAAGAGTGATTCAGATTCAGCCGTTTCAGATTCAGCCAAAAAAATAACTTGGACTAGCCACAGTGAGTGGTCTGCATGAACAATAAGGTTTATAACACCCACGTGACACACATAAGAACATGTGCAGTTATTTTGAGGCTTTCTATGAATACCAAAGTCTCTGGATAAAAGTACCTCTCGCCATCCTTGATGCTATCGTTTTCATCAACCCAAAAGAGATGTGAACACGCATAAACAGCTTTGCACTGATCGGGCTTCTTCAAAAGCTTTGCTGAATACTGCTCAAAAGAAAAAGCTTCATATCAGATTTTTCTTTTTTCTTTTTTTTAATAATTAAAGCCAAATTGAGAATTATAATGTGCAACAATTGATACCCCCGTGGCTTTGTGTGTTAACGTATCCCTGTTCTCAACACCAAAGACATGTATCCTCTGAAGAGTCCCTATAATCAAATGTATTGCGGTCACCTGTGCTCTTGAATCCTATCAAAACATTCATATCCATGCAGCAGGAAGAGAATGAGTATAATTCTATGTAGAATATAACACGGTTCGAAAAAGTTCTGAAAAAGACAAGACAATTGGTTCCTAGAGAGAGAGAGAGAGCAACATAAATAAGTCAGTATTAGAAGTACCGAAATTTCTTCTTCATATAGTATATAAGCTTGGGTGAAAAATTCATAGGCGACAGGTTCTAGATCGCAGTCATTTGCAGCCTGAGGTTTAGGAAAACAAAGGTGCTCTGTGAGAACATGATATTGCATTCAGTCCTCAAAATAGTTAAAGGCAAATCATTTTATGGTACCTCAGCACATTGCAAGTACAACCTTAATGCCAGTTCAGGTACTGGAACAGTTAACAAAGCTTCAACTGTCTGAAACAAAAATCATGCCAATTTAACAAACACAATACAAAGGATAAGTAGATACTAGATAGAAAATGCAGAAGAAACCAAAGTATCAACAGACAGATAAGACATTAAGACTGGTGTTGCGTAGAAAAGCCTAAATAAGAACATAGCGCTTGTATGAGTTACAAAAGAGATGGGGAAAAAAATATACGAAATTAAAAGAATTATAAACAAATTTTGACAATAATGATCTATTTATAGGTTTACAGTCCATATACTTTGGAACACCACTGAATTCGAAGCTCAGTGGCATGCTAAACACCCTCATAGAACAAAACTGATATGAAGATTTAAGTTAAAGACTTCCAAAGCAATAAAGGGTTCATAATTTTTTTTTATTTTTTTTTATTTTTTAAAAACAAAAGCAAACTGCATAATTGTGGAAAAGAATCAACATGTGCTTGAATATTGTGATCTGAAGAGTATAGCATGTTCTTATTAATACCCCTCACATGGCAAAGCCCCATGCAAGCCCCTTTCAAGAAGAAAGTTAGTTACCTGATTCAAAAGCTGAAAAATTTTCTTTGGTGTAGGTGCTACCTCTTCTCCAGCAGCATTTTCCTCCTGGCCTTGCAGTCGTCTAACCAACTGCACATGACAGACAACATAAAGCAAGTGTTGGAAAAACAAGCTTCACCTTATAAAAGGCATAAACAACTTATTTATATTTTCGTTCATTTTACATTTATATTTTTGCTTTGTTGGAAATTTCAAGCATACATTACAGGTATAAAGATGTCAACAAGAATTTTGGATGTATCCCCTTCCCTTTTACCCAAACCATCAAATGTTTCAGATTAGAATTTAAGCATTGATTACTTATTCTGCCAGATACCTATATAACATATGAAAATTATTTATGAAGAATATTCAACAACTGACTACTAAATATGTGTGTGTATTACATATCAATTATTGAAATTGCTACCACCAAATTTAAGACTAGTATGCTTTTTCTTTTATAAAGATGCATTCATCAATCAAACATAGCCTGTGGAAAATTAGAATGCCTCAACTTATTTCATGCATCATACTTGAAGCTCATTTAGCTTAAGATTAGCTTACATGTTCAACATATTTTATACACACGAGTATGCACATGTAAATGAATACATCATCCGATGCAAAGTTATTCTACCATTCCATGCCTTTATCCGTCAAAATGTTAGTTTTTTTTAACTACCTAATTGTTGGCATCTCTTTGATAGAAAAGAAGATTAAGATAATTATTAATGATTTTACATGCTTCATCAGGGTTCCAATGTCCCAGAATGTCCTTCAGTAACTACATGCACCCACATACATATCCTGAACGTAAGCTGGCAATTGGGATTCCAATATGAAATTATGTTTCAGGAACTGTTTTTCACATCTTCAACTTGTTAGAACAGTAAGAAGACATGGCATGGCAATATGTCACAAAGCTGAAAAGCTGAATCAAACCTTGAGAGAATTAAAAATAAGGGGAGGAACAGTGAAGGGAAGCCGCTTAGGTCCTCCGGTCAGGATATGCTTCCTCACAGTACATATGATCTGATACAGAAAACAAGTTACAGTCAACGTCATTAAAAAAAAACATCCAAACGATAGATACATCTCAATGTGTGAAGTAATTAAAAAAAAAAAAAATTAAATCAAAACATTTAAAAAAAAAAAAAAAAAAAAAAAAAAGAAAAAAGAAAAAACAAACGGTGTTGAGGTTCATAGACAGAGATTCATGAGTAGAATAAGCAAATAAACTGTCACAAAGAGAAACAAGGATTGTGGGTGCATGTGTGCACATTACCACCACATTTGATAAAACTAAGCATGGACAAGTTAAAATTATGCCAACGCCTATTCTTTATATATATATATATAAAGGGGCTAGGAAAAATATATGGCCAGTGAAACAATTATGCACATAGCAGCTCACCATTGTTCAGTAAGTTTTCAAAAGTACTAATATATGGAATATGTCTAGAATCAAATGCCATTCAACCCCCTACTTTCATGCAGGTTTGAATAATAAAGAGTATCAAATGCTTGAGTTCAAGAAGTGGTCTCTTTTCTGCGTATTCTGTTCTCTATCCAAGAGGCTGCCTTCCATTACCGATGATTCTCCACTGCTTACTCATTTATATGGCAGAGAAGAGGTGGGGGAGTGAGAGACTAGGAGTTGGACACAAATTTAAGTTTTTACAGGAAATGCAAATGTGATAATGACACATCAAGTTTCTTTCCGAAGTACCTAAAAAAAATAATGACACATCAAGCAAAGACATCCATAATAGTTTCCCAATGTAAATTGGAATCCAATGAGTATAAAATCTTTAAAAAATTGAGAAGAAATATTATTACCTTTAACATCTCTTCCAGATCATCATTATACAGCATCTGAATGAGACGTGCAACAGAATTCTGCTCCTCATTGAAATCCTCCTCATCAAGCTGAAGAAGAAATAAGTTATTTATGAAGTACAAAGACATTAAAATGAAAAATGCTATTATACGTAAAAGGCTCATTTTCAGAACCCAATATAAAAGAAAAAAAATTAATGATATAGCTAAAAGTACAATAAAATTGCCAAGTCACAGCATAACATTGTAACAAACAAGAGTTACAATATAGTGTAGTTACTAAGCAGTATATGGATTAACCTCGTCATGAAGATTCTCATCCAAATCTTTGATAAGACCTTTTATTAGTTCAAACAATGCCTCAACCTACAAAGATCAAGAACTATACATTATTAAGAAGCACGTTTCAGACAACAGAATAAATTGTAAATAAATACATACCTTGTCAGCAGTAGAAATACAAGTCCTGCTTTTCATGATGCTTTGAATGATAACACCAGCCATGACTTTGTTTGTTGCATCATCAAGGTGCTCCATGACACGGGGATAGTTAGAAAGCTTCAGGGCAGTGTCAATATCATTATATTTCTCCAAGGGAGCACTTAGAAGTACAACAATCTGTTTTGTTGCTCTGCTGTCATCCAGCTTTCCTTTCCCAGAGAGTTTCTTAACACATGCTCCCTGAAGAAAACAAATTTACTCAGTGCTGACGTCCATCTAAAAGAATCCAGACAGGATAGGTGCTATATGAAACCTCTCATTCCACATGTTCGATAGTTACATAAAACAAACGTATGCAAGCCATCTAGACAATCAGAAAAGTAGACATTTTTTGTTCAGACTCACTATGTTATTGGCTGTTAAAATTTATCAATAAACCTACCACCACTACCACCTCACCTACTCCACTAAACCTAACCCACTACACTACTACCACCTCACATATTCCACTAAACCTAACCCACTACACCTACACCTATTCCGCACGACCGAAGCAGACAATACCTACGATGGTTTAGTGGAATAGGTGAGGTGGTAGTAGTGTAGTGGGTTAGGTTTAGTGGAGTAGGTGAGGTGGTAGTGGTGGTAGGTTTATTGATAAATTTTAACATTGGCAAAAGATAAGCTATCCAAACTTTGATAGTACATAAATGCATCAAGACTCGTGCCTAAAAATAATACAGTAGTTGGGTGATTGTTTCATTTATCAAAACTTGCTTTCCATGTATCGAAAAAAAAAAATCAAGAGACCTAGGTTACATTTCACTCCCTCTCTTTTTTTGGGGTGTGTGCTTGTGCGCACGGGCGCATGAGAGAGAGAGAGAGAGAAATCTGAAAAGAAACCTACCAATACTTGATTTACATAATCAAGCCGATCAGGGTGAACATGAAGAGTAAATGTAAGAAGAGAAGAATATAGAGTCACAGCTCCAGCTATAGGCATGTCAACCTGCGCTTCAATCACCTGCATCAACATAGAGACATCACATTAGCTTGAAGAGAGTTTCCAGATCTCCTGATCACAGAAATGAATAGTGCAGAAATTAATTTACATACCTAAGAAGCATGAACACTTCCCAACTAAGAAGGTGGAGTGTCCATGTCAAACACCAACACCAACACCAACACTCACTAGAAACTTCCTAACACGTTGGACACACATTCAAACATGTCCTATTTATTTTTAAAGATTTTTAGACTTAACACACTTTGGATAGTTGGGGGACATACACGTGTCCATCACTTAAGACACTTGAAATACATTGTAAGTTTGAACAAAATAATTTAGAATTCAATGATAAAAGAAAAACATTATAGATTTATATTTATGAACCTTCCTCCTTTAAACTTCAAATATTCATGTTATGTTGCATATTTTTATTATCTACGAATGAAATATAAATATATGTGGCATATAATAATATAAAACTACATATTTTGCTTGTCCCCAAGTGCCATGTCCTATATTTCTTTTTTTTTTAAATTGCCGAATTGGCGTTTGTGTCATGTCATGTGCCTGTGTTTCTTATGTACATAAAAAGCAAATGCTACAATACTCCTTTGGGTTGGGAACTAATAAGCGGTACAAAAGCGCTTAAGAAGTAAACAAGCACGAACACCAAGGTAAGGATCATTTGATGTACATCATTTCAGCAACAAAAACTGGTGTCCAAATTTCGCTTCACCTTACAACCACATGACAGCCAAATCAAGTGACCTATTTTTTCTCTCCATTGCCTGTTGGGTTAAGCAAGCAGAGAGAAATGCAAACGTACACAAGCGCACGCACACAGGAAGAAGAAAAGTCCTACCATCCTCTAATTAAATTTTATCACAACCAAAATAGTTTCAATCACTGCAACTTCACTCAGCAGTGAACTTAATCTGGAAATGAAAAAACAATGTGTGAACAAAGTTTTTAATACTGGCACTGCGAGATTTACCTTCCCTATGGCATTATTCAGTTTTGCAAAAGCTTCTACTTGTAAGAATTCAGGTAACATCTGCACCATAAAATATTATCAGCACCAGTGTACCACTGTACGGATAACTGAGGCCAGAAAAACACATAATTACTCACTTCTGGACTTGAAGCAGCATAATTTGACAACCTTTCCATTAACCGTGAAAGCACTGTCTTGATATCAACGGATGGCTGAGGTATACAAAAGTCACCAAGAAAGAACACGATTCAGTGCACTTGCATTCAATTTATAATTCAAAATTTGGCCAATGCAAAAGTATAAATTTAGGCTTGTTCCACTTCAAGGAACTTTACATATCATGGAGGGCAATCAAACACACTTGACAAAAATAGAGCGATTCAAAGCTGAAAAGGGAAGGAAAGAAAAAGGAAAACAAGAACAAAGGATTAACGTATATGGCTTAGAAGAGAAAACTGAAAAGCATACATAATGGGAGCAGCTTAAGGTGCAAAAGCAACTACCTTGCATATTAGCCACAAACAATTAAAATCTTTTAGAAGTTGTAAGCAAGGAAACCCTTCGTGAATATTAATCTTAATGGCTTAAACACATACAGGATGCATCAGCTAGCAACTTGTTAAAGTACACAAACCTTGCAGCCACATCAGATAATAAAATTACTGATCAAAAAAAGCGCCAACAACATTTAGAAGATTTAAACATGACAATCCTCTAACTAAAGTCAAAGAAATGGCAGGCTAATATAAAAAATAAAGAAAGAAAAATATATTCTACAGGAAGAAATCGAATAATGGCAACATGAACGAGGAATAATATAAATGTTGAAAATAGTGTAAAACAAGAATGCAACCCACCTGAAGCTGGGGGCAAGCAGCCAACAATGTCTCAAGGGTCTGCAAGTGGTACTCATCAGGAAAGACTTGAATTATGCAATCCATCAAATAGTATTGGGCAAGATCATCTTTACAATTGACAACCTGCCAAAAGTGTTTGAGATACAAATTCAAACAGAAGATAAACACAGGTCAAAGTCACATATTTTACCCTAACCCAAAAACAAAATGAATGAGAGACACAGATCAGACCTGCTCCAAGATTCTGGGAAGAACAGTATCTCTGTACATATCAAGGTCAACACCTTCAATCTGACTGAGGACATGCAGGTTTTTCCCAACCTAATGGAACATGAAAGGGATACAAGAATAACTTTTTGTAAGTGCATACCTACACATTTATATTGCCGCTGTGAAAAAATATAAACTGATTGTGGGTTACAGATATTACAAGATCACGAAGCTCGCTCCTTTCCTTTTCCCGTCTCTCCTTGTCCCAAACAGGTCCCTGCAGACCAGAAAGGCCGATTGCTATCCTCAACTCAAGATCAGCAAACAGTATGAATGATTGACAACCACTATAACACCTGCATGACCACAAATCATGCCCTCATGATTTATTTTTTTACCTTCACGACATGCAAGCCCCATTGCACCTTACATGTATAAGCATTTCTTTTTTTTCTTTTAAAAAAGTTCCATGCATGTCTAAGCATGAGAGCAAATAACACAATCTACAGATATTTCAACCAACCTGATGCTGCATCCGCACCCAAAGTTTGTTCATTTCTGTGAAGTTCTGGAGTACAAACTCCACAGCATCCACGACAGTGTCAGCATCCCTGCAAAAGTCGAGGAAACTTCTCATATATCAGGTGCACTCTCTAACCAGTGAACTCATTCCAGATTAAGAACATAAAACAGAATTTTACTATCAACCAACAAAGATATCATTCATGAAGAATAACAAAAGGCAAGAAACAGCCATGATACTGAATCATCATGAACACAGGATTGCCCATTTATTTCCTTTCTTGTAGCTAACTGAATCACAAAATGAGACATTCTCTCTCCTCATCAAAATCCCTGTCAATACATTACATAATTGATGCCACTTGTTGCCATCATACATGAAATCAAAAATGGCATCAGCTACACTCAATAATACAATAATTAGCCACTTAATTTTGGTGCTCTAAAAAACACAAAGGTAAATAGTCTTGCCAATCCATTTCAGCTATGCTGGGAAATAATCTGACTCCCAACAATTTAGTAGTGAACAAGACAATGTTCATCCTGCCACAATGATCTCAGAAAAGCATATTTCCTTTTATCTGAACCACCAAAATTTGCATCCATTCAACCCCTAAATAGAAAAATCCTTCCACCTAAATTTGTAATGAAGCAGAAAAACTAATTGCCTTACCCTTCATACTCAGAACCAATATCTGGCAATTTATCCCTACTGATTTGAGAAAGATAACTCCTTAAGAAAAGCCCACGTACAGGGTGTTGTATGCCACGGCACATTTCCACGAGATCCTTAAGGACATCCTTTGCAGGAGCTTCCTTAGACTTGATGTACACAGATCCCACTGTACAAAGGAGATACCTGAGAAACAACCAAGCAGAAAATTCTTGAGAAACATAGAGCACCTATGTTTTGGTGCAGAAAAAAACTAAAACAAAAGATATAGTATATAATATAAACTGAAATTTTGATAGGCTTGTCTCTCTGGAGAACAGCCAAGAATGCAACATTGCCTAAAAAACAGGTGTGGATTTTTTTTAGAAAGTTTATGCAGATTTTCTGTTAAGAGTAAGAAAATTAAATATTACATTGACTGCCTAATCAAAAAAAATACATGTATATACCAACGTATCTTAGCCACTAAAAAATTGGAATGTAGAAATAAGTAGCTTAGGGCAAAGTAATCATAACTCTTACTATCTATATGATACTAGAAGTAAATTATGATCAAGAATCAAGTAAGCATGCAGACCAACATACAAAGAAAGTTAAGATGGATGAGACCACCAATTCATTTCAACACCCTCTTTCAGTAAACTCATTCCATGAATAAAACAATTTGGAAAGATCAACTTCTCCCCAAAACACATCTGCAATGAAGCAAGAACCATATAACCAATACAAACTCCCAAGGCCAGAAAGAGCTTCACTTTATGACAGCATGAGCATCACTTATATGAAAGAGGAATTTAATAAGAGCCTATAGTTAAATGCAGGCATACAAAGTTCTTAAGAGGGCCTAATTGAAGTCCATTACTTTTTTCAGAGCACATGGCTCCACTGAATTCTTCAGGCAAGGCAACCTGCAACCATAAAAGTTCGAGGACATAAACTATGCAAACCTCCACATATGTTCAGATAAATGATAAGAAAGTGATAGCTGAAAAGGTCCCTGTTTTAGATAAAAGACTATCCAAGGAACAATGAGCAGGAAAAAAAGAAAAGAAAAGAAAAGAAAGGAAGAAAGAAAGGAAAGAAGTAATGAAGGAAAGGAAGGAAGAAACAAAGAGAGAAAGTATAACGTGGAAAGATGGGACTTTTTCTTGTCCTGTAAAATCATGATTGTTGTTGCAGCATAAATTTTGGACAGTATTACCCAACTGGTACTCTTTAAAATAAATAATAAATTTCGTAAAATAATGCATTAAGGGGATGCCACCTATATACACAAAGGAAAAAAATAGCCAAAAAAAACCTTTCCTATACATCATGTATCAAAAAACTCTACAAAACATAAAAATTGGTAAAGAGAAAAGTTAATAACTATACAAAAAATTTACAATAGTACTTGTGAACCTATACAAAGGAACCCCTACAGCATAAAAATGCTAACGGATCCGCTCCCCCCAAGATGATCCACATAAATTATAATGCATAAGGGAATCAAAAGCCACATTTCTTCCTTCTTTTCCCCCACTATAGACCTCTGCCAAAATGAAGCTGCTCTGATTCCCGAGTGCTATGCATGAAAGAAGATAGAAACAAAAAGCTTGTACTGACTCTAGAGCAATAAATCAAGAATAGATCAGAGCAACTACATCTCTGTGATTCCATACGTCGTTATGTAGTTTATAAGCAATTTGTATTTTCCAGTGGAAGTTTAGGTTTCTGATTTTGGCTCTTTGTACAAGGTCCACCCCCATTAAGGTGGTTTTGGAAATATACTTTTGCTTATCAAAAAATGTTTCACATCATGTATTTATTTTTTTAAGAAGTTTTTGCTAAAATTGGTTTATGACTGGCAATTCAAACATGTAATTGGGTATTGTCATTGCATACACAAGTGACAAAAAGGAATCCGGCTATAAATTTACCTTTATGTATTCTAAGTTCTCCGAGATGGACAAAGGTCAAAAGGTATCCGCCCTTCTCCCCACTATTCTACTAGATATTGTGATCATAGTGGGAAAAGATATCCATCAACTCTCGAAAGTAATATGTTCAACTTGTTTATGTTGTTCAAGCAATACTAATGCATATAGCTCTGTTTTTCATAAAGATAAGAATGAAAATCTTAAGGGGTCTACCGTAAAACTCAACAATATTCAATTACTGCAAGAACATCAGTAAATAAGAAAAAGCATCGAAATCAACTCAATCTCAGATACTGTAGAACACAATTGAATGAAAAATCAATGACAAGCATTTCCATCATGTCAGAGGATACAAACATGCACAATTGGATAAATTGAAACAAGATAAGTCAGGGTTGCACAAACACAATTATAATTTTCATACGCATATTATTAGCTGAACTATGTGGTGGGGTTGTCCATTTGCATCAAATTGTTTAGATTTTTAAACAACTTTACCTTGGTAAATTGTAAATATCACTCGAATCCCATAGTGTGTTTGCATTGTCAGATCTCATTTAAACCTCTTTTCCTTTTTTTTCCCCTTTTTTTTGGTTCGGCCGCTTTCTATTTTTATACTTTAAGCCCTCATTTTCATTCCACTATTCCAAATTTAACATTACCAAACACATGTACCAGCAGTTTCCTTACATTGCTTTACTTCTTAAAAAAAGCATAAAACTAACAATTTAAGAAATCATTTAATCCAAATGTGTTTAAGAGAACACACAGCAGAAAATCATCGCCCAACTGCCAAATCGGACACATATAAGCAGTAAAAATAAATAAATAAATAAAAGGCCACAGAGAGAGAGAGAGAGAGAATTTGGTAGATTGTAATTGTGACTTACAATCTGGGCAATATGTTACCGGCGTGCTGGACAAGTTCATACAGATCAATAATGGAGCAGCCACGCCGATTCTCCTCTCTAAAAAACATCTCCAGCTTTCTCAACTCATCAAAAGCTCGCATGTCTAGCGAATCACACACACACACACACAATTTACCAGTAAAAAAAAACGTTACATTCGATGGGAGATCGCTAGTAGATACAATAAAATAATAATAAATAAAAACGAAATTGTGGATCAAACAACTGAAACAAAGATCATCTAACGAGAGAGAGAGAGAGGGGTAGCTTACAGAGGTCGTAGTATTTGTGAGGGGAGAGCCGCGAAGTGCGAAGCTCGGAGAGCATCTGAGCGGAGTATTTGAGGGCGTCCCTGAGATTGTCGGAGTCCTGATACGAAATCGATCCAAATTAGGGTTTATGTTATTCACAGAGAGAGACATAGAGAAACATAATTGAGGGAGGGTTACCAGAGCACGATGCATGTAGAAGGCGTTCTGTTGAAGGCCAGCGATCCCTGCCGCCAGCCATTTCTCTTCGTCTTCGACTCCGTTGGAAATCATTCTCTCTCTCTCTCTAGCTGGCACTGGAGTGTTTGTTTGTTGGACGGAGAGAGGGAGGGTTGCGTTTGACCTGGCAGTTGCTTCTTTTCGTCCCCAACAGCCCGTCAGCTTTTTTTTTTATTTTATTTTTATTTTTATTTTTATTGCATAAAACTGGTTCAATTTACTAATAAGTTTGGAGGGTTGCTATTAGCACTTGTCAAAATTCTTTAACCCTTTATTTTATAATTTTTTTTATTATAATTATACCCTAAAGTAAAATTATATTAAAAGACATTATTAAATGAACACTCACCTATTAATAAGAACTAATACTCTCTAATATTGGATACCTACCCCCACCTACAATTCCAACTATATGTATTTTATGTTTGTAAATCCTAAACCTATTACTTTTCATAACCAACTAACATAAACCTTAAATCTATTATTTTTCATAATCATCTTAAATCTTGAATATGTTATCTTCATTACCATCATCAACGCTATTGAACTTGAAAGTTTTGCTTCAAGTATAACGTATACTTCATCATCTTATAAGTTTATCTGTCTTACAATGACATTCTCGGTCGTTCTTGTTTCGTTCGAACTGTTTAGTACTGGTTTGCTGACTGTTAAAATTATGTTCGGTAATACAGTACTGAACATAATCATTTCGTTCAATACATAGGTTTCGAACATTAATGCAGATAGTCAGTTACATAAATTTCTTTGTTAAACTAATTTAGAATGGAAAAGAGTGAATTTGAATGGATTTAAGTTGTAATGCCCTTAAAATAATACATTAAACCCATCAATATAGACATGCATTGGTAATAAAGATAAACATTCTTCTATTCATCAGAGTAGTTCTTTACAAAATTATTACATGTTAATCAACAAAAGCAAATGCCCTACGGGTTTACAGTTTTCCAAGTTAACACTTGGTTACAACAAAAGAGTGCTAACTCATTTACACATTAAGCCCTTGGCTTGAATATACATGTAATACATCAAGAAATAAAACAACAAAAGTCTGCCTGCCTCTAGCCTCCCAAGCTACGTCCTTGTAGGTGGCATGCTACTTGTACCTGAAAATGATATTCCCATATAGGGTGAGCCACAGTCCAGTAGAAATATACTAAACCAAATATGAACAATGACTAAAAGATTAGCAGTTGATAGATGGCCAACATTGATACTTTCCTTTATCACACTTTACATTTTCATGACATACAAGTCCATATTACCATTCATTTTCCAATTCCTTTCAAATTCTCAATTTATAACCATGGCTCAGAACCTGGCCAAACAATTCATATGAGACAGTAACTCATATCAAGCACCTCCCATTACATAACAGATAAGCATACTAACTATATCACATACTAACAGATAAGCATACAAGCTATATTATCACTTCCACAGATATGCATATGAGCACTATCACACTTTCAATGACAAGCATATGAGCTCTGTCAACACATTACTAGATAAAGCATATGAGCTCTATCTACGGAGTCCATCCCCTATCTCCTCCCAACAACATCCGGTTTAGAGGTCCATCCCCTATCTTCTCCTAAACCGCAGAGTACATCCCCTATCTCCTCCAACACAACACAATGCATATAAACAATAATTATACACATCATCAACCAATACATAACATTTAATGTATTCATTCAACCGTCATACTCAATGACACATTCCGGTGATTAGTTTTAGTTCGCCTAATCATCATGCATTGTCTACAACAACCAAGACTATCCTCCACCGATAGCCCAAAGCAGTTATTTCTATACAGAAAATAAATGCAACAAATGGATATAAAATCGACATTTCCAACTAGGTGAGTGACATAAAATCCAACTACACCATTTAATCTCATGTATTCCCAATCTCAACATTTCCAATTTAATTCCTCATTTCTCACAATTAATTTTACAAATTAATTAACCAATGTAATTAGGGCATTTTCCATAATTAACATTTCAACTCTTAGATTCCATTTTCATTAATGTTTTAACATTAATTCCACTTTTCCATGCCAAACATGCATCTAGGCTTTTATATAGTTAAAACCCCAACTTTGTAAATTTGCACAAAAGTCTCAAACTTTCACAAAATTACCAAGCTAACTCCAACATCTCAAACTACTAAAATTTAAAGACAAAACCCATAATAAGGAGTAGGTTATCCCTACCTCCAAAGATAACTCCCAACCGAGAAGACGAAGAAAACGGAAGTACTCCAAACTACAAACTTTTCGGATCAAAAGGTAGCCCTCGACGATCAACAACTCTTTTGTAAAGGCCAAAGGTGAGCAAATCACTCATACTAGATCAATACCTAGAGAGAAAGTAGAGTCCTAGAGTAAGAAGCTCAACAATGGGGTTTTTGGAAAAGTAAGAGAGAGAAGAGAAATAGAAAAAATGATTTGAAAAGTCAAAACACGGAACTTTAACCCAGTCGCCCTGCTCGAGCGTCCAACGCCCCGCTCGAGCGTCAACAATCCCGCTCAAGCGGCGAATACACACTTCCAGAACTTTTACAGAACCAAGTCTCCGCTCGAGCGTCACACACAACAACCCGCTCGAGCGTCAAAACTCCCGCTCGAGCGTACAACTCTGCAGAGGAGATACTGGAAGATGGAAAACTACGCTCGAGCGGACAGACAATAACGAAGGGCCCGCTCGAGCGTCAAAATCCTCGCTTGAGCGTGAAGGCCAAAATCTGGGCAACTACACTTGGTTCCAAAGCTCAACCAATCTGTTTCAAACTCGCTCAACACAACCCAAGACTCGAATGCAAGGAGTAAAGGATATAAATAAGACATATACAACAACCAACTCCACGGAACCTAAGTCCGGGTACAACAGTTAAAGAAAAGGGGAAACCGGGATCGCTATATAAGTTATGTATTTTGAATGGATTTAATTCATGTTATTTAAAGTTGTGAATTGGAATGGATTCAAGTTACACAGTGATGAACAAATTTTGTTCGGACATATAGTGCTGACAGGATCATTATTGTTCGACAAAACAGTTATGAACAAAATATATTTTTTCAACTACACAGTAGTGAACAAATTGTTTTGGGCTACATTCAGAATTCTGATGCTGATTTAGACGATGATTCTGTTTTTCCTCATCTTGCAAACGGTTATACAAATCCCGTAGAAATTGGAGTATCTTCAATCGATCTCAGCGATGACGAAGATACAAAAAACAACGAAGAAGATGATGATGAGAGGATGAGAGATGCTGCTGATTCGGCGATACAGAGAGCGTTCAGAGAAGAAGAGAGTCGTCGAAATGCTTTGTTGACGGCCGAGACGACGACGACGAGAGTGATGGAGGTTTGGGGTCCAAGAATTCTATACTGGACCAAAGCTCAAAACTCTGAAGATTGAGTAAGTCAAGGAAGGAGAGGGATAAAAAATTAGGTGGGTGTGCATTGCATTGTGAAAATATTATGAATATGGGTAGATTTGGTAATAAGTGGGGTGTCCAAAAAAATATTATTAAAATTTAGGATTTAGGGTTGGGGTCCAAAGAAATGGGGTTCCAAGGAATTTTGGTAGGCTCTAATAACAACACTTTAAATTTAGGAAAAATTAAAGAATAATCCAAACGTACCACGGGTTATAGGGTGTGTTTGCTTTGGTTTGGTTTGGTTTGGTTTTGGAAGATAAATTTTTCAAAAAAAATTTGAAAAAAGAGTTTAGAATTTTTTTTGATTTATTTGGTTGTATATTTTATAAATAGTTTTAGAGTATGAGAGTTTTGGATGATTTGATATTTTACTGTAGTTGAGTAGATGTGTATGAGAGAAAAGGTGATTGAGAAGGAAAAATGAGAGAGAAAAAATGATTGATTGATGTATATGAGATAGAAAGTTATTTTGAATTTATTTATTTTTTCAAAATCACTAAACCAAACAAAATTTTAAAAAAATTTCTCCAAAATTTGTTTATCAAAAACAAATCAAATAAAGCCAATATGTTTTTCATATTTCTTAATTACTCAACATGAATAATTAATATATTATATTTTATCATATGGCCGTATTCTCAAACTATTAAATTTATAAAAAAAATTTATACTGTAATCTCTTAACTATTAGCAAATATTACTCTCTTCTTTTCATTTATAAATTTGTATATTTTGACTCTCTCAACATTATGCACACCTTTTTAAAGGACTTATTTGATTAGGTAGACTGTAATATAAGATTGAGATTATTAATACATAGGAATCACATTCTATTGTTTAGTTACAAAATTTATTTTTCAGATTAAATTACAATAGTCATTCTATCCAATAAAATTAATGAATTTTTTAATCTTGTAACTAATAACACAAATCACACATATAATTGGGATTATAAACTTTTATATCAATTACAAAATAAACTTGGATAAAAGAAAATTATGTGTCTCAATAATTCAACTGGATAACCAATTCTACACTAATCTTATGATTGGTTAATCATCTCGCTATTATTTCTTACTAATCAAACAATCCTAAAAGTATAATCATCAACCAATCATTTCGCTTACACTTCATTAAACTTAAAAAGTAAATTTACATATATTTTTTTCTCTCTAAATCATATGACACACAAAATCATGTTTAATACTTATTATGTGCGCGAAAGCTGGCCCGGACACTCAGTTATCAAAAAATTAATGTTTGTTTATTAATGTTTGTTGATGCTCATTTTGGTCATTAGCCCCGGATTCATTCGGGGACGGTTCTTCTGTTATATATGGGCGCATGAAATGTCCAGATAATCGATGACAAGTGTTACAAATAAGTTAATCCAAATAAGTTAATCGATGGCAAGTCTTACAAAACTGTATTTATATATCTTTTTATTTTTTTATTTTTTATAAAAAAATTAAAAATATATTTTTTTAAACATTTTCAAACAGCCTGGAAGATTGTTTATTTAGACAAATAAATAGCTGAGGAATTTTAAAACTCGTTTAAAACTTGACTTCATTCTGTAATTTTTAAATATGTTATCTTTTTTATAAGGTGAAGAATGTTAATATAATTTGAGAATGATTTTTTAATTGAATTGATAATGGCGAGGAAAAAAAATAATTAGTTGATATGTTAAATTATAATTTTTTAATTTTTTTTTAATTTTTTAGTTTAAAAAATTAATAAAAAAAATTGATAAAAATTAAAAAAATTAACTCCAACAACAAAAAAAATATAGTGTACACATTAATCAATCACATTTTTTTTCATGACTATTTATTCAATACTAAAAAAAAAATCGTTTCTAAACACACTACTAATTTTTTTACCAAACAAAAACTAATAATAATAAATTACTAAAAAAAATCAAATTCGCAAACAAAATCATATCACTATAAAGTAATTCACATCTCATTTTAACGAGACAAATTTTAAAATGGTAATACAATTTGTATAACACAAAAAATTAAAAAAAGTAAAAAATCATTTCAAACTTATTATTACTCTCACAACTTTCTCAACAAAATCCAATACCTTTTCCTCTTTATGAATCAGTAAACCATCAAAAAAACCAAAACATACATCAATCTTTCCCCAAACAGTAATGCTAGGTATCATGAAAATTTTGTCATGAAAATAATCATGAAAGCTTTGTGACCCTTGAATTACACTTAGAATAAAGCACCGCACACTAATCAAGATAATCCAATGATCATAAATTTTTCATGATGATTTTCATGACAAAATTTTCATGATCCCTAACTTTTTCCTTCCCCAAAACATACACAAAGAAGTCACTCAAATGTTATATATACAAATTTACAATTTTACACACCACTCTTTTGCTTCCTATTCATATTGACAATTGTATAATATACAATTTTACACACCACTCTTTTGCTTCCAATTCAAATTGTTCCTACATCAAACTAAAAGCCCAGTCCAACAAAACACATCACAAATGAAAATTCATATCTACACTAGACTAATATATATATATATATATATGTACACATACACAACAATTCACATAACAGAACAGGCATTGGGATTATCATCACTAAAAGCAGTGATATACTTGACTTCAGCAGAACTCGCTCGTGCCAAGCTAGACCTTTGAGGGTCCTGTAGCTCCACGTTCCTCACGTACCCGGGCGGCGCTTTCCTGTCGTAAACCCCAGGAGCGTAAGGGTGCGCCACCATATCGTAGGGCACGTAGGGCCACATCTCGGCTTTCTTGCCCGTCCGATGCCTCACCCGATGGAGTACTTTCTTCGGATTCACGTATCCGACGACCGTGAGCTTGTGCTGCTTCCGGTCCACCTCCACCTGTGACACACCTTTCATGCCCTGCACTGATTTCCTCGCCATCCTCTCGCACCCTTCGCAGTCCATTTTTATCCTTATTTCCACAGTCTAGTATCATCACAAATAAATAAATAAATAAATAAAGCTCCAAAATCATACCATATCACAAGCACATATAAGAATTGATTAATCATCATCAAAACATGCGATTTTTTATATTTTTAGTCTATGGTCTTTTTATTATTTCACTTTAATACCCAACTAATATTTTAATTCAAAATCTATAACAAGAAGGAATATCTTGAAAATGTTAATAAATAAAAAAAATTGTAACAAAATTTAAAATTGGATAGTTTGAAAAATCAAAATAAAACAAAATGCATATTTTCATGTTCAAAATGCAAGAAAAATAGATATTTCAAAAACTATGTATGTATACGATTCTTCAATTTTATTATAATTTTGTATAAAATTCCAAAAAAGGCCTATCATTTATCCTTAAAATCAGCGTTTTTAAGCGTAAAGAATTGGGCAAAAAACAGAGAAAAAGTTCAATTTTATTGATTGAAAAGGACACTAACCCTTGAAATGTAACAAATTAAAGATAAATTTTTTAAAGAATAAAATATTAGAATTAAAGTATAAAAATTACATAAATAAATAAATAAATACCTGAAGTTGCTTGTGTTTTTTGAGCCTCTTGCGTCCATGACTGCGAGAGCAGTCGACAAGGTCAGAGAAATAATCAGAGAGATAATCTAAAGCGCCCATCTATCTCCGACAACGTTTTCAAAAGCGATATAACACTGTAATTTGAAACACACGCAAAAGGAAGAGGTTTGAGTAAACAACGTTAAAGGGAGGTGTTGTATTTATAGAGTTACCTCAAGCTAGCTAGCCTTCGCCGCACACAGATTCAGATTGCACGGCAAGCTGCCACGTGTGAGCGCATCGGTACATGTGGCTGAATGGTGGGTCCCTACGTCATCCTTTCTTCCTGTGTCACCTATCGGAAGGAAGTCCGAGTCTTGGTCATCTTCTAGGAAGTTCATTGATTCATTGTCATGGTTGATGGTTAGTTAGTACATGACATGACCAAGTCTACCTACAAGATATGTGTTTTAAAATCATTTGTCCTTTTATTTAGGTACTATTTGTCATTTTTTATATTAGTAACATATTTTTTTCATTATATAAATAATTTTTTATTTTTTATATATCTTTTTATAAAATATTAAAAATATATTTATTTAAATTATTTTAAATATTCTCTTATATTTATATTTATATATTTATTAACATGTGTCTTAATAACACATATTAATATAATCTCTCATATTTTTAATTGTGATTTCAAAACTCATGTATCTTTACATGTATTTGCAACTAGGTTCAAAATTCTCTTGTTTTCAAATTCTTTTTATATTTTATAATTAAAAGTGCATTAAGAATATAGGAACAAATATTTTACAAGTGAATAATGTTTATACAAATTATCAAAATTTTTATTTTTTCGATTCATAAGTGTAAGGGATGGCCTGTCAACTTCCCACTTATCTTCTTCACATGGGTTCAAAATGCTCTAACTAAGATGGGTTTTTGGTCATTAAAAAAAATTGTTAAACTTTTTTTAAAAAATTTATTGTTGCGGTACTAACAATATTATTGAAGTAAATTATGTTTTAATTTTTGAATTTTCTGTTATAAAATTTATTAATATGTATAACATTTTTCTTTTAATAGATATAGAGTTTCAATTTTGGAAAAATTATTGAGTGATCTAAGGTCAATACTGACTAGTGCTGCATAACATATTGATTAGTAAATATTTTAACGAATTGACAATAATACCCTGACACAATCCCACCAATAAGGATATTAATCAAGAGTCCAGATCCTCTGCAGTGGTTTCCTGCAGTGGTTCCTGCTGTGGTGCCAATCGTTTTGGCACCTCCTTCTTTTTTTTCTTTTTTTTTTCTTTACCCAGCTCCTCTCTTGCACTCCATTCCCAACTCTGAGACCCAAATCAGAGAGATACCACAAGGATGACAGAGAAGAAGAAGGAAGGAAGAGAAAGGGAAATCACCGGCATCACCAACGAGACCCTTCACCTCCTTACCTCATCGGAAAACTCTCATGCTACCGTCGCCGCTGTCACAGCCCCCAAAGCCTCTGAAAAAAAGGGGCTTCATCTTCTTCTCGCCATTCAATTTGTTCCATGATTTGATGAAGACAAAACCATTAGAACGAAGGCGTTTGCTTGGTCTGGAAGTTCATGATAAATATATTGGCCTTGCTGTTTCAGATACGAACAACAAGATTGTTTCACCTCTGAGGTATGAAACATCATTGAACACAATAAGTTTCAATATTTTCATGCTCTCTCTTGGGCATTTCATGGGAAGTTTTATGTATTTTTTCAGCAAGACATATGTAACAAGTACCCACTATTGCTATAAAATTTGCTAGCATGTTATGATCTACATAGAGTCAAGGATATTTGCTATGTGTTTTTCTGGGAACTTACTGAGTGCTACCTAACACGTTGGTAAAACTAATTTTTGCTTGGTCTGCTGGGTTCTTGTTTCCCTTTGCAAATTGAACGTTAATCAGAACATTCATTATTGCTATCAGCAATAAATTTCATAACAGTTAAAGTAAATAAAAACTCCTTAATTTTTTTTCTTTCTTCTCTTATCAATTTGATGAAGAACTAACTCACATTTTAACTTTCAACCATATTTTGAAATGTTTAAAATTTGGTTGTGTTTTGTACTCAAAATACTCAACATTTAGATATTTAGTTTTGCCTCTGAAAAAATTATGCTGAAATTGAAAATTTGAAACCTTTTTTGTGACTTGGTCATATGTGCCTTTCCATTCCATTCTGCAAACTGTGGTTGTTATTTATGGACGATATGCCAGTAGCCCACTTGATCTACGAGAAGGAGGAGGAGGTTGAGGAGGAGGAGAGATAGAGGAGGAGGAGGTTGAAAATCCATTACCGTCGCCTCGCCTTCGCCTCACCTCCGCCGCCGCATCACACCGCATCGCCTTGCCTCGCCGCCATCGCCCTCCTTTTTGTTTCGTATCTCTGTTTTGCTCCTCGGATGGGTTAGGGTTCTCAGCCTACCTCAGAGAGAGAAGACAATGGACAAAAGAAAAGAAGAAAGAAAGAAAACAAAAAAAACAAAAAGATGAAAACGACGTCGTTTCAGTACCACGGCAGGAAGAATTGCAGGGAACCACGGCAAAGGATTCGGACTCTACTATCAATTGCAATGATGTAGATGCACTATGTGGCACTGTCCCTTACCAACTGATAATTTTCCTCAATCTTGACCTAAGTCTAAGCTTTGTGATTTCAATAATAGCAAATTAATTAATGGCTTTGTGAGTAGTAAACTCATGAGGAAGCCATAAGGACAAGAATGCATAGAAATAAAAATATTTGTGTTCAATTGGTAATAACTTAGGTTAGTTTACACTTTTTTAGGTTCTGGAGGAGCTATTCAATGGGGTGTTTGGTGGGGATTAAACAAGTAACTTGAGAGGGTAATTTGTGTAGAGTATTGGCCGAGCTATGACCAGGTAGAGATTGGGCCAAGCTATGAGCCGAGGTAAATAGGTTTCAGGGTCGGACCCTGTTAGCTCGGCCAAGAATGGTTGCTGTTAGCTTGGTTTAAGTATTTTGGACCGAGCTAGGTGTTAATCATGAATGCGCCGAGCTGAATGTGACCGAAGGCCAGAGATAGCTTGGTTCTTTTGTCGTGCTACTGTGGTAAGACCATCTCCTTTGGATAAACAGTGGGAAGGGTGTAACAAGAATAAGCCTTACCTTTCTAAATCCTAGGAGGGCTCTGCCAAGGAGAGTAAAGTCCTACTAAGATTGTGCAAACCATCTCACTTGATTGGTGTAGCTTACATTTGTGTTTTCAGGGAGTAAAGCGATAACGTTTGGAGAAAGTGCAAACTTGATCAACATGATTATACAAGAAGATTATTTCGCGCTTGTACAATTGGCGCCATCTGTGGGAATTTCACAAAGAACAATATCTTTTGATCAAGTTTTCCTCTCTAGTTGAAATTAATGGCACACAACGAAGACTTGCCGCAATCTGCTATTGATGGGCAAACCCCGGAGGGGGTGCAAGGCGCGAAGGTCTACCCTCTGTCACATCCATGGCAAAATTAGGACCCCGGGGACGGAACTCCCGAAGGGACACAAGAGAGAGACGGGGTACTAGTCCCTGTCGCTCTTAAAGTCCTGATAGACAGAGGCAAAGGTTGGATCCTCAAGTCCCGGAGGATCGCGTAAAGGAGCAAGACGAGTTAATAAAGAGAATGGCGGCGGACATAGAGATAATGAAGCGCCAGATAAAAGGTAAAGGAGTGGCGACAGAAGAGGGGCGCAAAGGAAACACGCCCCCTCCCCACTCAGAAGATCGTGAGAGACATACCACACCATCGCAAGCAGAAAGTAGGAGCCTTAGAACAGGCGACACTCAATCAAGGACTTCCAGAACTCGTTACTCCAGGTCTGAGAGAACGAGGACTGAAAGGTCACAAACAGAGGGAAGCAGCTATTGGCCCTCACACCCGCACCAAACGACATCCAGGCACACGGAGTTGCCTAGATCATCTGACCTGCGAACAGTGCTTGAAGAAAGGGCCCGATGGAAGGAGGACACTCGGGCTCGCGACCCACGCAGAGTTTTAGCCCTACAGCGGTTGGCCTCTAGGACGCATGGGAGTGTCGAGGTAAGGATGCCAATACCGCGCCTTGCTTATGAACCAGCAGACAAAGTATTAGCAAGGTTACAGAGCTCGCCGTTCGTTCCAACAATTGAGAACGCACCACTTCCCTCAGGTTTTCACCAACCGAAATTCACCACTTATGAGGGGAAGTCAGACTCTACATGCACTTAAGCCACTTTCGCCAGGTTATAGCAGTATACCGGTGAAATGAGGCTCTGATGTGTATCTTGTTTCCATCCAGCCTTGGTGACCTAGGTCTAACCTGGTTCGAAAGGCTACCAGAAGGCAACATCGCCTCATGGGCACAATTAGCAGAGGCGTTCGTGAAGATTTAGAACGAACACCAAGACACCCGTAGAGATTGATCAGCTACTCTCCATTGACATGGGTGAAAATGAAACATTGAAGTCTTACAACAGTCGATATTGGGAAACTTTCAACCAGATTGAGGATTGCCCTACAAATCTCGCCATCGCACAATACAAAAGGGGTCTACCAGTCAAAAATAAATTGAGGGACTCAATTACTATGATGCCACCCCTCACGATGGAGGCCCTAATGGAAAGGGTGCACCAACATATCCATATAGAGGAAGATAGCGACCGAGCTAAAGCAAAATCTAGCACAGCAGCGGTACCAGATAAAAAGACTACCGCAAAAGTTAACACGGTAGAATAACCAATCAGGAATAGGGGAGGCAGGTGAGCCAACAGAGAGGACCCAGAAAAAAGGAGGTTAAGAGTTCGCACTGCCATCACTACAGTATTCAATAAACCAATCTACCGGATTCTTAGCAAGATAAGTGATTAACCCTTCGTTCGGCGGCCAACCAAGTTGGGAGAAGCACAAAAAAGGCTATGATGAGAGGTCCCGTTACACTTTCCACGATGAGAAGGGGCACCGCATTGAAAATTGCACACCATTGCAGCAACACTTAGAGAAGTTAGTAGCTGCTGGACACTTGGACCAGTACATAGAAGGGGGAACACAACCAGCCCCCCAAGACCTCAACAAACAGAACGGGATGCCAGTCGACGGTCCACCCCAAGGCGTAATCAACGTCATACATGGGATCATTGAACCTG